CCAAAATGCAACAAAGGAGGAGAAATGAAGGTGTAGTGCCCTTATACAACAATTTCCACTATTTCCATTATAATAATATTAAAGTAATTGGGCACAAATTCCTTAATTAAATTAGTTTAATCTGATCTGAATCAATTTTCAATTAAATTTCACCGTAGACTCTAAAAATTATGTCAATCACAATGGCGCAATCAATTTTGGTTTCGGTAGCCGATAAGGCCTTCAATTTAATTTCGAAAGCAGATAATCGAACAGATATTCCTACGGTAAACATATAGAAATTCAAAACCACATATTTTCACATACTTGCACACAAAATCATATTAAACACATAATCTTACTCATTTTAATGGCCAATTAACATATTATGGAACAGGGGTATCACAAAAAGTGTCAAGGTAGGAATGCAAAGTAGAAATGTACACGAATCAGATTGGTTTGGTTTTAGAGTAAACTAGGAATCGAACCATAAGAACCAGTTTCAGAAAAATTAGAACGGTAACCAAGTTGTTAAAGAATAGAACCAGATCAAAACCAAACCATAAAAATCGGTATAGTTTGGTTCGGTTTACAGTTCTAGAAATTTTATATAATAATAAATATAATATATATTTTATGTTTGTATACAAATTAACAATAATTAATTTGGTTAAAGTTTATCATTTTTATAATGAAGGCTAGTGTTCAAATCTTATAAGAAACTTTTTATATTTTATTTATATATATAAAAATACAAAAAAATAATAAAGAAATATGTTATTGTTTGGAACCGTAATCAAAGCATTGGAATCGGGAGCCGGACTGATTTGAATGGTTCTATCGTTTTCAAAACCAAAACCAAAATCAAAACTAATAAAAACCAGACCAAACCAATGATTTAGATCAGATTTGATCGGTTTACCCATTCCATCCATTTTTTTTACACTTCTAATGGAAAGAGAAGATGAGAGCAAATGTAAGTGGTCGTTGGATAGGCAGAGTACTTGTGGTGCCGAGTAGTAGGTTTGTGGAGAGAGGGAATGTGGTAAGCTATGAAAAAGGTTTGGTGGTAACAGGTTAGGGCGATATTTGTTTGGTCTGTTAGGGTGTGTTTGGTTTAAGAATTTGGAGATAGATTTGGAAAGAGAAAGATAAAATATAGATAAAATGTAAAAAAAAAATTATATTAGTATATTTCACACACTATTTTTAGGATAAATTACAAACATACCCCCTGTGGTTCTAGAAATTACATTATGCCCCTTAAAATTTATAATTTTATAACAAATAGGTCCTTTTGAATAAATCATCAAATTAATTAATAGTTTTTAATAATGTTAAAATTTTATTTCAATTAATAATTCAGATAATTTTATTATTGTATAGGTGAACAGTTAGAAATTTCACTTTTTCAATTAATTTTGTTAAATAAAAAATTTTGACAGCGAGATATTTATAATTTTTCGCACCACAATAGGTAATTCGTATTTTAAACAAATCTTAGGGGGTATATTTGTAATTTATCCCTATTTTTATTTTTCTTTCCAAATCCTTACGCAAATCCATGAACCAAACATAGACCTAGCATATGAGATTGGATTACCAATTTGTAAGCCCTACCAAACCCATGTTTGGCTGTACAAAATACCAATACACCTCTCAATTATGGGGTTAGTATTTCTATGAGAATTGTGAGATTTCTAATCAAATCCCATGGAAATCAAAATGAAATGACTACTTTGCCCTCAATTTACAAAAAAAAAAAAAAAACAATAAAATTATGTTTTATGTAATAAAATTTTTTACCTAATTTTGTAAATTTAATCTCAACCAACTAATATTACTATTATTTATTTATTTTTTGGGGTGCAATGGGAAAATTAAAGCAACAACTAACTAGGAAATCTGTAGTGAGGAGCATCTAGAGGCAATAACGGCCTAATTCGAGTAAGTGGTTCCATAAAAATCTGAAGCCACATGGATCCTTTAAGAGCCTCATGAGCAAGAAAATCTGCACATTAATTTGCCTCACGAGGCCCATGGGTTATATTACACGTCCAGTTCCACCCCAGAATTTGCCATTGCACTCTAACACACCTTCTCTGTTTCTCAAAACAGAACTGTTGTGCTAATTTAACCTCCTCAATGTTTCCATAGATTACCATCACTGGATTTGAAGGCGGAACAAACTCTGGATCATGGCGCAGTTTATTTCTCCAAAACCAAGCAGAGGCTATAGCACACATAGAGAGTGATTGCCGATGATCCTTAGTTTCCAGACCACCCAGCTCCCCAATCATATTAGCATCAATCCAACTCTTAAAAGGGAGACTAAAAAATCTTTCATGTAGGCTAATTGGCACCAATCGTCGCCAAATGGTTCGTGGAAGGGAACAATCTCTTAAAGCATGAACCACTGTTTCACTATGATACCCACACAAGGTGCAACTTGCATCAAACTAGGTGCTTCCAAAGGGGTAGACCATGGGCTTTCCAGATAGTTTTCCATTCCCTGCCATCGGTATATGAGTTCTGATTATCACAAGTATGTTCATATGCTGACCCAACGGTAAACCTGCCATAAGTTTCATACTTCCAAATTAAACTATCCCTATTTTCTACACATGGATTCACAATTATGCAATTAATCCTCTCACAGACCCCATCAGGGAAAAGGGGTGCCTGCTGTACAGCAGGCACTGCTGTGCCTATTCCACCCATAGTTTTGCTTCTTTTTTTTTTTTTTAATATAATTTTTCCTTTCCAACCTTGCCCATCAGTCCAAAATTGGCTCGCAACATTGCCTTGTTGCTCAACTTCAACCCTTCCAGTGGCTGAGTATAACAGAGGTGTCTCGGTTTACCTCACTCGTCCCAAGCGATGAATGTAATATCACTATACTAGTATACAAACAAATACATTTTATTTTACATATTAACTAAATATTATCTGATACTTTTAAGAAGTATCTGATACGTATCCACGAGTATCCGAGGAGTATCGGTATCCGATACGTATCCGATACGGATACGTCACCCCTTTTGAAGTATCCGTGCTTCATAGCCTACCATGAGTTTCATACTTCCAAATTAAACTATTCCTATTTTCTACACATGGATTCACAATGATGCAATTAATCCTCTCACAGACCTAATCAGGGAGCAAGTGTTCAAAACGTCTCCCAGTTCCAACCTTGCCCATCAGTCCAAAATTGGCTCGCAACATTGCCTTGTTGCTCAACTTCAACCCTTCCAGTGGCTGAGTATAACAGAGGTGTCTCGGTTTACCTCACTCGTCCCAAGCGATGAATGTAATATCACTATACTAGTATACAAACAAATACATTTTATTTTACATATTAACTAAATATTACCACACTAATAATTTCATTACTCAATTTTATTATACTTATAATTCCATTCAACTTAATTTGACAATCATGGCCAAGAGGGAAACAGTATGATGGTGAAGGAAATGGTGGTGGTTGTAAATAGTTTTGTATGTAATAGTAGTTTGATGTAGGGGTAGAATCGTAATAAAAAAAGTCAAATAATATGGGTGTGGTGAGAAGAAATGGGTGTGTCTTTTAAAAATGGAATGGTTATCCATGAATTGAAGACAGATGATAAGGCTGGATTTTTAAAGGTAGCTGCATCTCTCTTAAAAAAATAAAAATAAAATTCCAGGAAGGGCATTCGAGAATCTGAACTAAACATGAGATAACCTTCCCCAAAGTAAAATAATTCCATCTTGTCCCCTGAACCACCAATCGAACGTGGCTATGAATCAAGTAGGGAGGATCATTTTCTTTGGTCCCACATGAATTTTTTCTGTCACAAAAAAATAAGTGACAAGGAAACAGGTTTTACTTTTTCCACCTCATTATCCCGTTATATTTATTGTTTATATTTATTAAATATATTTATATATATAATACATCCATCATTTAATTTTTTTAATATTATAAAATTAAAACTCAAAATATTATAATTATTTATTTCTCATCTTACATCTTTTACTTTTCATTAATTATAAATCACTATTCATAATATATTATATTATATATAATTTTTATTAAAATTTATATTTTTTAAGTTATACAATTAACCCAACCCCCGCCCCACTCTCACCCCACAGATTTGCCCCGCCCTTGATAGAATATGGGACGAGAAACTATAAACCCTTTCCAAATCCAATGAACCCTCTTGCTCAACACTAAGATTGTGTTTAAATTATAAATTTAGAAAGAAATTTGGAAAGAGAAAGAAAAATTATGTATGAAATAACTATGTTTCATGCATATTTTACCTGCATTTTTTCTTTTCCTTTCTAAACCCCTATTCAAATCTATGATCCAAACACGATCCAAACTTCAAGTTAATGAGATGCAAAGCATTCATATTCTGTTTCAAGTCTGAAAAGTTGCAGAGCAGTGACACAAATCAACTAGAAACTAACATGAAATAAACAAAAGTCCCTTGAAAGCTACCACACCTTGCAAAGCAATAGCCACTAAATACATGCAAACAAAACCTGCTGTCTCACACTTGCAAGTACAATGAGCAAAATACAAGACGCTTGACTCAGCATTGATCTACATCATACAACAAGGGCTTGTGCTAGCTCCGTGAGTTCTTGCTTCACAGACCCACCTCCACCATACAGAACAAGAGCTAGGTCCTAGCTATTGTATAACAGCCACTTGCATTCTCAAAACTAAGCACTCTGAATCAATTTTTTTAAACAAACATCATCGTGAGCCAAAGGCATATTAAAATTTTGAAAGAATGTAAGAACCACAATTCCTTTTGCACAGAGACTATGCAAACATATTGATAAGAGTCGTCAAACATATTGATATTAGCTACACATTTAGCAGTTACCGAAGCAGTTGTAGCACCAAGCTGAAGAAGTTCAGCAGTGCACCAGGCATGCATTTCATAGAGTTTATCAAGCCATTTGGAGGGAGGAATAGTGTCAAAAGAGAAATAAAACTCATCCAAAATATACACAATCAGATCGCTCAAGAAACAGAGTGCATGGATTTAATATGAGGATCTTTGTTCTGTATGTGTTACCTTCCTCAAACTAAAAAAAAAAAGATTGCTGCCGGCTTATCTATCTTCAAGGAAACAATCAACTTTTAACCCCATTCTTCCATTATCAGTAAAAATCATAATCCTAGTTCAAAAAAGTAAAAATCATAATCTGAGACATTATCTAAAGCTATTGTAGAAATCTACCAGTTGATTAAAACACTAAAAACTGTATACAAAAGTTTCAAATCTTCAACATGGCAAACTAAAGCAAACCACCATAGACACGAAACTACTGCAAGAGTCAGATTATAAGTCAGCTTCCTTCTTGCCTCAAGTACCTGGAGACCAAGATGCAATGGAGATTATTAGGCAAACTTGGTAGCAATGAACATTCGCACTCGTAGAAAGAAATTATATACAAGCTTTGCATCTGAATAATAATAAACAAAGGTTCGGATGGAATTCTCAACCATCAAAACTATGCACGCCACCAGACTATAGATATGGCAGCTAGGTGTCTACATCAATAAGAATGCATGCCACCAGACTATATATATGGACCCATAGTTCATATTGTCAGAGTACATATTCAGTATTCAAGGTACAGAAGACAAAGTTCAGGTGTCACAGAAATCAAGTCTGTCTTTGAAACGAGTCAGCTTCCAAAGACGATATAACAAAACCACACAAAATGTTTATAAACAAGAGAGTTCTTAGGTTAAATACCCAGTTTCCAATTTTATGAGAGTTTTTAAAATCAACAGGAATGAGAGTTTGTACATACACAGTTTCCAAATACCGTTGTTACATATCACAACAGAGGCTAGTATCCAACCATTTACCATATTTTGTAGTGCCAACAAGAATGAGATATTAATAATTACAGGTTAAGACAATTTACGAGGAATAAATGACATGGCATTCACAAATGAGCCAAGGCAAAAGAGACAAGATGTTAGAAGGCAATTGATCCCCGCAGCTGTTGCAATATGTGTAAAACTGGAGAAAATCAAATTCGGAACTACCTAAGCAAAAATAATGATTAAATTTTACTATCCATGTACATATCATGCATTTGAGTACCCCACACCATATCATATAACAAACTAGGACTTCAATATGATCATTACCTTAACATAGAAACTCCTTTGGTAGAAATTTCAAATTTATATCTCGCCAGAGAAAAAATAAATGTCATCATGGTTTTAAAATTCAGCAAATTTACATTTTTTTTAATTAAAAAAACAAATTCGAACCAGTTCACTATATTTGAATTGGCCAAAATCAGAATGAAAAGAGTACAAAAGTTTGAAATACTCAGAATTTGGATTCAAAATGTGGGAAAACAATGATTTTTAGTATATTTTATTAATTCCATTGAAAAGTTTGCCAAATTTCTTTAAAAATCGACTGAAATTCGAAGGAAAAAAAATTGGGTACATTTGATCGAAAATAAAAATTACAAAACTGAATTTAGACAAATTGGATGGAATTCATGTTTTCAAAACCATGCACGTCAGCAAGCATGTTAAAATTATAAGACTTACTTTTAATATGAAAAGACAACACATAAAACATTAAAAGAAAAAAAAAATTATTAAATCTAAAAGTTATGCATATAAAAGTAGGGTCCAGTTATCCCTTCACAGTTCAGATAACAACTGCATAATCAAAGTCGATGTAAACAATGTATCCCTTTCTACCAATGTCAAGCATAGCATGGAAGTTGAACTAAATGTACATGCAAGTAATGTAATATTGTTCAGCACATTATCTAGTTCCAAAAAATGGTTGCATTATTGAGATACCTAGAAACAGCCAAACTGTGTTAAACAATAAAATGGATAAGAGAGAGTCAGAAAACTACAAAACCTTTTCCTGGAACATGTTGTATATTATAAGTACTAACTTAAGGATTTTTAGGGTGGACAAGTTCTAAGATAAGGCTTCGTTTAAAATTTTCCAATATTTAGAAAACATCAAATTATGGGGTTGCCAATTAGCAAAACCTTCTTTATGCTTTCCTTTTCTTCTGTCCAAGTAACCAATTAACTGAAGTTTTGAAAACCAAAGTAATTTGATATGGTAAAAATTTCATTGCCGTGCAAAAATGTAAGCATATTTGCATTTGCAAATTTCATTATATTGTCCAATGGTATAGCATATTTGAAGTATATCCATGTGTACCTGTACAGCTTCTAATCTGATAAAGTTGAAGAGATCACTTATTCATAAAGAGCATGCTTCAACAGCTGAGGCTCTTTGGCATTGGACATCAAGCCCATCAAGTAGATTTGTGTAAGGACAAGTCAAAGAAAGATCCAGTGAATTTTTCATACCATCTGCTTCTTTGAACATTTTACAGCCCTTATCTTCTGTGCAACCAGCATCATCAAAGCCATTCTCCACAGGATCTTTTGTATGGATTATCTTACCAAATAACTGGAATGAACCCAAACTGACTTTTGTTGAGGAATTGCAGCCCTGTTTTCCAACAAGGTCATTGCCAAAGAAATGCACACTGCTCTGACTATCAGGTGACAAATTGTCGGTCTGTGAACTGCCAATGTTAAGCTCAGTAGAGACAGTTTTCAACTTTGGTGTCATGTTGTTGCCAACTAATTTATCACCGCACATGTGATGGTTATTTTCACTTGTGAAGTTGGATAAACTGGATACACAAAATGGATCTTGCCTGGCTCCCTGCATGCCAGCAGGAAAAGAATTGTAATTCATCAATGATGGGTTCAAGTTCCTGATCATTGAATTATTTAATCCTGTGATAGGAAAGAAGAGGTCTCCCTCTCCATCAGTTGGCAGCACAGAATTCTGAGAAAATCTGAGTTTCTTTGCAGGAGGGTATGTGGAATGGATGGGTGGTGTGGGCACGACATACTCAACTTGCCAAGGGTTCACTCTCTTCACATTTTGCAGAACTTCAGGTTCATCCCATGTAACCTGTGGCAGAGAGAATTATAACAACCTCAAGCTAGTTAAGAAGGGGAAAAGAGTATCCTCCGAAAGGAGGAGGGGGTAGTTGTTAAAAGAAGCAACATTCTTGCATGTTCATTTAAATATTTATCAGAACTTTTAAGTTAAACCAGATGAGCTCTGCTAACTTGGTAAAAAAAGATGTTTCCCCAATTCTATTCTTACTGACAATGGGACAAATGAAGTGTGTTTGAAATGCTCAACAAAGGGAATCATAGCCCACTATCTTTCTGCAACTACCAAAAAAGTTATGATATTCCTTGCTTTCCCATTATATGATGCTCAAGTCACCTAAAGTTAGTAAGTTTATCAACCTGTAACATCTAATTCCACTGCCAAGAATTAATAAAGGGTTGGCAATACCACCTGAGAGAGGGACAGGCACAGAGTTCGAAAATCTACAATAATTGGTTTCAAAAATATATTATCTTAGGGTCACTGTTCACACTTTACACAGCAACTTGTTTATTTAATCAGAATGTAAGCAAAGTATTGTGCACTGATATGCCACACATACACATTTCAAATGACACAAAATGAAGAATAAGGTGATCGAGACTAACAAACCATGGACACAACAGGTAAAGAGAAATGCAATTTCGGAAGAAGTCAGTGCAATTTATCTGGCCTCCTTAAACATTAGAATCCCTCTTTTTACCTTTTCCTATCCAACAGTAGAAATCAAGCTTCAATGGGTTATGAGCTCATAGTTTACCAGAGGCCACTAAAATGTTCACCCAATTATGCTGTTTACAATTAAGCCTTTAATTGGATGACAAATAATGGGAGATCTCAAATAGATGCCATTACTAGGAATGAGAAGTAAATAACTACATAAACCAATGTCACCCCATTAAAGCCTTCGTGAATCTTGTCGAGAACCAACAATTCCATTTAATGTGGCAAGATGTTTATGTTGTTAGAGAGAGAGAGAGAAGAGAAGAGAAGACTTTTTTTTTTCTTGGTTTACTAGGCTGCTCAATCCACCAGCACCGATTTCAATCAGTAAAAATAATTAATAACTACTTACCCCAAATTTTTTACATACATTTAGGTCTGTTAACAAGTCGGACTAAAAATCGAAATCCAATGCATTTGACCAGGTTGACACATCATTATGAAACCAAATCGCATTCATTGCTTCAAATTCATTTCTTGATTCAAACGATCCATTTAGAATTGAACTACGTAGATTTAATCAAATAAAGAATCTAATCCATTAGCTATTATAACTTTGTATAATTTGCATATGCATGCACATCATTTCATTATAGAATTCCTGAATAGATTTATCTTGTGTGTAGCCCTCCAAATTAGGGGTGTTCATGGGTTGATCAGGGTTGGGTTTACCCCTTATCCATCAGCTGAACCGAATGAGTCGGTTTGGAATATTGATCACTCATGATCGACTGACAAAATATTCAAAATTGACCAAGCCAAACTATTCGGTTTGGCGGTCGGTTTGGACAGGTGATTCACACACTAGACCTTACTTTCAATTTCTTTTTAACTTTCAAACAAATCTCAAAATAAAAGATAAGTACATCTCAAAATTGTATACAGTGATTCAATTAATAAAAAGAAAAAAAAAAACCTTATACAAACCAGATTTAAGAGACTAGATGGGGAAAAAAATAGAGAGGAGCCTCCATTGAAAACTTTTGCAAACTTTTGCCACCAAGGCACAGCGTCATCATCGTCGCCATTGTACATCACGGCCATGCATGATCATCGGAAATCAAAAGAGGAAGGTTACACTCGATCAATCATTAATAGACCAACTTTCATCAATCGTCGTCTTCACCAATATCCACACTTCACCACTAAAATTTGTGTAGATATGAGCTATGTTACATGGACTCTAATACGGGTGTCAGATGCGGGTATGTATCCGGAGGTTGGACTCATCAAATCATAAATCTATGGGTACGCGGACTCAGGAAAAAAATATCATATTTTTATATTTTTAATCCAGTATGTGAGATAAAATGGTACAATATGTAATTTACAGTGTCAAAATGACATTTATAGCAATTATCTAACAATATGTACATATAATAATAGTGTTATATACAATTATATAAAAAGTATCTGTTGAAAAATATCTGACACATATCCCATACCTTTATCCAAGTGTCGGGTGTCCGACACGGGTATTTGATTTATTTTGAAGATTCCGTGTAACATAGGATTTGAGAGATTAAGAGAAGGGTCTAAAGAAAGAGAGGAAGACAAGAGGGTCAGCCAGAGAATGAGATAAGTAGGTTAGAGAGAGAGGGAGAGGGGGAGACGAGAGGGTTGAGAGATGGGGAAGATGAATCGATGAGAGAGACGAGAGCTATGTTAGCAAAAAATGCTAATACCCTAGCGAATTACGTATTGGTACGCATGTTCTGAAACATGATACACTTTCGTTACGAAACGGTAAATTTAGTGATCTGTTGCGATCCAAAAAGTTTTTTCCCATATATTCTTTAAATGTTTCCTTAGGAGAAAAAAAATCAAATATATGAACTAAAATCTATGGTGAGTTAAGTTTTGATGAGAAATGGATCATAATTTTCATAGAAATGATTTGCTACATGAATATATATATATATATATATTGGATACCTAATAATTAAAAGAAAATTATTCTAGAAATACCTTAAATTCTTAAGTGTAATATATATATATATATATATATAAATAAGTCTACTCTTATTGTAACATTTTAAAGCATGCAACATATCACATTCACGTTCCCGTTCACGTTCCATGTACCGGAATGATCCACGTTCCAAGTAACATAGGATGAGAGGACCGGGGGGGGGCGGGGGGGGGGGGGATTGACTCTTAGGGGAAGGATGTAACACTGTATTGGGAAGGGGGTTAACATTAATAGCAAATAATTTCTCATGTCTATTGGAAAGATGAAAGGGTTAGACTGAATGACTAATGACCTTACCAAAAACAAAAAATAGACTCTCTCTCTTTCTCTCTGACGAGAGGGTTGAGAGATGGGGAAGATGAATCGGGGAGAGAGATGAGAGGACAAGAGGGGGGGAGGGGGGGATTGACTCTTGGGAGAAGGGTGTAGCACTGTATTGGGAAGGGGGTAACATTAATAGCAAATAATTTCTTATGTGTATTGGAAAGATGAAAGGGTTAGACTGAATGACTAATGACCTTACCAAAAACAAAAGGCAAACTCTCTCTTGCGCGCATGCGCGCAAGCAACAAATGCATAGATACATCCCTAATTTGTAGGCATTGATGACAAATGGAAAGCTATGAAGCACAGGTGCATGTACAAATATTGGTACGAGTACGCCGATACGGCAAGACCTAAAAAAAATAAGATACGGGTATAGCTGAGATATGTCAATAAATTTTTTATTTTTTATAATTTATAGTTTGAGATCCAATATACAAATCAAAGTTCAATATCAAAACTAAAAGGAGAAATTCCAAAACCAAAAGAGAAATCATATTTCAACAATACCAATACTAAATCAAAGTTTATAAGCTATTTTAATGCCATTAAATAGAAGAAATTGCAAAACAAAGTTTCATTTCAAAAGCAATCTAAGCAAAATTTAAAAACTTGAAATTTTAGTTTTCACTTCTATCAATTTCATTATTGAATAATATATCTTTCATCTTTGTTACACAAATAAAGGATTTGCAGTTTCAAGTAAATAAAAACTTTCTAATAAATTAAACATATCCCCACCAATATCAAATAACTTGGTGTACTCTCGATTTATCAATGAAGTACCCATGGAGTACCCAATTGCCAAAGAATGTATAAAAAATATCCAGTATGTATTTCAAACACCCGGGACATATACGAATACCAATACCTGGTAAGTACCTGATACGAGTACGGAAAACTTTTCGGAGTACCCATGCTTCATAGATGGAAAGTATAGAAGAATATAACTGATTGGGTGGGTTCAATTTCAACGAATTTTTCAAATCCAAAACCAAAACCCAACTCGAAACTCGAAATTTTCAAATACTTGGAACTGCAGCTAACTGTATTAATTTTCAAAATTGATTGAATAAGAGTTGGGCCGGTCGGTTTATGCGGATGTCGGATTTATGAACAGCCCTACTCCGAATGGACAGCTCCACCTCATTTTGTTTGGAAAAATTAGGTTTACGCGGGTGTTGGATTTGTTTGGAAAAATTAGACTCAAAAGTACATTTTCAAATAGCCCTACACTTTCTTTGTTGTGTCATACTAAGTTTATACCAATACTTAGTTCTATGAAATTGTGAAACCAACACTAGTGCACTTTTCATATGCCGTATTGCAACAAATTTTTCATAACTTTCAACCTTAGGGTCAGTGGGCCTGACTGGTGTGCATGTTATATGATCCCACTTACTTTACCAAGTCAAAAAGTTATCAAGACTTTGGACCAATGAGAATAGTTGTCCCCATTTAGCAGGATGCTAATACTTTGCAAATTATCCTCAGACATGGTGAAAGGAAGAGGAAGAAAAACCATAACAGAAATGAAACACAATCACTGGTCTGTCTTTCTAAACAAGCTGGGTTGGGTTGACTTGGTTCGTGTTGAGTTGAGTCTTTTATATCAATTCCTCAAAGAAGTCATGGGTCACTCAGGAAGAAGAGAAAATTGCAACTGATAGCAGATATGATCACAAGAGAACCAGTGATGATGCAATCGCAATTGGGTTGCGATGTTGGGTCGACAAGAGAGAAAAAAGAGGTCGACTGATTTCTCAGTGATAGAAGGCGAGGGTTGCCAATGAGAAGAGGTTCGACAAGTCCAAATGAGGAATGTGACACTAGCTGCAATGGCGTCAATTGTGATGCAGAGGAAGACAAGATGTCAACAACATATAGGTTCGACACCGGTGGGTTTGATGACTGGACTTGTTAGGCTAGTTTGCACTGACGATGGTTGGAATGAAAGAACGATATACCAGCCAAGCTCCTCCAAGCCAACTCA